ACAGCTCCAAGATATGCCGGAAGGGGTGCCTGAACATCTTTCCGCCATTAGATTCAAAAGAAAACAATTACTGTAATTCTATCCTCAGAAAATCGCTCTCTTTTCTCCAAACACTTTATGCTCCATGCAATTTCACTTACAAATAATGCAAGCGTGTCGCACAGTTCAATTAGCGGTTTGCGCAGCAATTCCTTCTTTTCCTTGAATTTTTCAAACGCGACAACGTATATCTGAAGCAATCCTTCAAGTTAAACAAAAATTACAGGTAACGGCACAAGCAGTTTCATTAAAAATGCATCCAGCTTTGCGCTTTTTCCAAAATGATGATTTTTGTCAAACATAGCCCATGAGATATGCTTAAGTATAGCCCATGAGATAACATGCTTTTTTTTCATTTTAATACTAAATTTAATGTGTTGGAATCAATTGTTCGTTAATTTTGTACTTTTGAGTTGGAATCGATGTTTTTCTTGGCTGTATTTGTGTATTTTGCACTTCCTGTAAAATATCTCAAACAAATTTTTACGCAGTATTGGTTAAACTTTCTTATGTTTGGTATTATGAATTTTTGCTTTTCTTTTTCAAAGACGGCGAACTTATTACCGTAGGCACAGGCAAAAAGACTTTTGATTTGCTACCAGAAATTAAAGCAGTGGTAATAGATTAAAACGAACAAGAATTTCGATGCGCTAAGAGCGCAGAAGTAAAAAAATCACTGTCGAGTCGTGCGACAAATGTCGAAGAGAAAAGCAGAACAGCCTTACATTTGGTATATGTCGAGAAAATGCGTAGCGCAATCCCTGTGCAAAAGCTGTGATGCATTTTGCTGCAAGTGCTGCTACACTAACATTGGCATCTTTCTCGAGTGCCTGAAACAAAAGCTTAACACAACGACCGAAACTGCAGTAGGAGTACCCTTCATACACAAACGTGGATAATTCCAGAGAATACTGTTTCGCATAAAAGACATACGTTGCACAGCACATTGATGAGCACGGTGTGATTTTCTGTACGATCAAGTCGCGGGTTGCTTCTCAAAACATCCAGCAACGCCTACAAACAAATGTTCATCATCAGCACAACTCCACTTGTTGCGGAATTCTCGCGGAAAACCTGCGATTGTTGAAAGGATGTGTTGCACAAAGCGCAGGAGCCAGACAATATAGCGAATGTATGGGGCCGCCATATACATGCTGATTATATTCATTCGTTTGAACTATTATTCCTTGAAATGCTTTGAGATAATGGTTTCGCGGACGGAGCCCCATAAGAGAAGATAAGTGGCTACTAGAATCAGTGGTGCAGATATCTTGCAAATCGCATTTGGTGTGAAGACAAGCGAGTCGATTCTCTTCTTGGTCCACGATGATTTTCAATAAAAAGGGGTTCTGCCCGCGAAACAGTCTCAAAGCATTTAAGAAACTGATTCATACGAATGGCTGTTGGCACATAAGTACAAAAGGAAGTACTAGATCACTGAAAAATGAAAAGTTTTAAAGGAAAAAAAAAGATTGAGGGAGCAACAGTTCGACAAAGTAAAATGAAGTATCTTTTTGCAAATCTGTACCTCCAGTACTTCCACTCTTTTTTTCCAGCTTTCTGAAGTCAACATTTCTTCCATATTTTTTGGCAGCACCTCGCTGATTTTTGTCTCTTCTAGTGAATTCCATGCATCAACTGTAGACTTATCTTGAAATTCGCTGCTATCTGTTACTTTCTGGCTCACCTTAAAAACTGTTGTAGATGAGCAGCAGTACATTCTGAAGGTGTGGCTCAGGAAACGACAGAAGAAGATACTTCATTTTCTCCGGATCCGCTCGGCTCATCTGCTTCAGCAGGGCCGCGTTCGATTCTCGTCTTTTGGTACCTTTGATACTCTTGTTCTGCTTTCTTACAGTACTCTGTTATTTTCGTTGACTTCCCCTTGTCACTTAGTACCTCGCCAATAGCAGCAGTCGCTTGCTTCTCACCAAGCACACGCATTACCGCGCCAAGACCCATATAACATTTTTCACGCACTTCAGCATCACCATCCGTGCTATACTGAAAAGTCAGAAAGCATATTTGAGTTCATATGTGTGGCCATTTAGCTTCTTTAGCCGCTGTTCACAAAACTTTCTGCCTCAAATCGCACATGTCCAAACGGGGAGATATAATAGGATATAGGAATTGTATTTACGCGCACCTACGCAAACACGGTCGCGGTTTGGCAGAAGTTTGGCAGAAGAGTTACAAAATTACCACCATCAAATTTTGTTTTAATTCACGAAGTGGGGGGTGTGAACCTAAGTTCATGGGAATGTACTTGGGGAACAAAATTACAGATTTCTGCAGCCTTCTATTCAGATTAATTCTCATGTCAGTGTGGTGACAAATTGTTCTTTGTCATCTCTGCACGTGGCATGCATGAAAGCTGAACTTTAATTTTCTGGGTCGCACATAAGTAAGGACATCATCGTGAAGTTCCAACTTTCTAGCTTGCCAGGTTTACATAACCATCTTTTCGCCGAAATATCTGTTACGTATCCCATCTGAGAAACGGAGAACATGAATTTTAAGCAGATTACAGCATCCAGGTTGACCCTGGAAGCGCAGTGATGACGAAGACGTGACGGAGTTCAGAAAGAAAAAATAGTATAAGAGGGAAGGCAAGAGAGGGATAAGACGTTTGGTTATTTAGTCATATACGTCTTAAACCAAGAGTGTGACTGGACCTCGTCAGTATGACGGCCGCAGGGCTTAATGAAGAGAAAGGCGGAAATGAAAACCAAGGAAAAACTGAGATAGTGGGAT